TGTAACAAACCATGTAAAGTTAGGGTGGATTTTGATCTTTCTGCAAAAATGGCATTGGGAATTTCTTTTTTTTTTTTTTAAAGATTTTATTTATTTATTTGAGAGAGAGAGAATGAGAGACAGAGAGCATGAGAGGGAAGAGGGTCAGAGGGAGAAGCAGACTCCCCGCTGAGCAGGGAGCCCGATGTGGGACTCGATGCCGGGACTCCAGGATCATGACCTGAGCCGAAGGCAGTCGCTCAACCAACTGAGCCACCCAGGCGCCCAGCATTGGGAATTTCATAGAGACTGCATTAAATCTGTAGACCACTTTAAGTTTTATTGACACATCAGTAGTTTTAAGTATTCCAGTGCAAGAACATGGATGTGTTTCCGCTTATTTCTTCTTTCAAATCCTGAAGAATGTTTTATAGTTTTCATCATTCCAGATTTTATCTCTCCTATTATGTTAAATTGTAAGCATTTTATTTGGGGGGATGTTACTGTAAATGTATTATATCTCTATTTTTGGAATTGTTCTTTTTTTATGTAGAAACAACAAATTTTTATGTGTTGGGTTTGTATTCTCCAACATTGTAAAATTTGAGTTTTCACAGCTTTATACCAACAAGGATTCCCATGAGAGGAAAACGGCCGTGGAATAGGAGGACCCGAGACTCATCACACGTCAGGAACACAACTAGATAACTACGAAATCATCCTCAATACCCCAGAAATGGACTTGAAGACTGACAGAACATGTTCCCCAAGTGAAAGGAGAGAAGAGGCCACATCCCGGACGGCAGAAAGATCGGAGACATGGTTTAGAAAGAGAAAAGTGGGAGTGCTGTGGAAGACGGGGGGCTGTGGCTGTGGGGGAAGCGGCGTGACAGAGGGGCCCTCAGGGGAACGCATAAGGAGAAGGCTTCCCCAAAGCCATTGGCTTGGACAACAAGAGGGGTTGAATTCCATGAGCTCTTGGAACTAGTATGTCTTAAAGCCTGGAGTTTTAATGGTCAGCCTGCTTGGCTGGGTTAGAGCAAAGAGGGCGCTGTGCTCTTCTGGACTAAAGGTGGGTAAACAGCCTCAGGACAGACAACCTAGAAACATTTATCTGAAGAATTCCAGGGGCACACACTGCGGAGATTATTCAGTAGTCTAGGAGTGTTTCCCTGAGAGGAAACATTCAGTTAGATGTGCTTCCAAGAACACGGGAGTTGGATGGCACCATTTCCCTCTCCTGCCCTGTAGCATAAACACAGAGCCCCACTCACTGAGGACACTGACTGTCTGCCTTGCTTGCGCCAAGCCCCACCCCCCCGTGCTCTGGTAGAACTCCCCTTCTCGGGGCAGCTTGCCTCAGGTCCAGCAAGGTGGGCCCTGCCCCCATCACATCTCCTGAGCAGAGACTTCTGCAGGGCCTCAGTTCTGGTGGGGCCGATGTCAGGTTTCATTTCACAAGCAGACCAGAGCACACCTAGTTAAAACTCCCCGTATTTAGTCCAGGGAGCAAACATTGCCCAGAGTAGGAAAGGAGAGCCTCTGCAGACCACTGGTATGAAGGATAAAGCAGGACACCTCACTGACATTTCTAACATACAGAGGAAGGCAGACTTAGACCAAATGCCAAGACAGAAGAATTCATCCCAAATGAAACGCGATATAGCCATGGCCAGAGATCTAAGGGAAATAGTTATCAGTAACATGCCTGATGGAGAATTTAAGGCCGAAATTGTAAGGATACTCTCAGGGTTGAGAAAAGGATAGTGAGAACCTTACCACGGAGAGAAAGTAGTTAAAAAAATAAATCAAACAGATTAACAATGCAATACAGGGGATTGGAAAGAGGCTTGCAGTGAACAGCAGGCTGGAAGAAACAGAGGACTGACTTTGTGACCTTGAAGACAAAATAAAGGACAATACTTAATCTGAACAAAAGAGAGAGAAGAATCATGCAGCACAGGATTTGATTTAGGGAGCTCAGTGAGTCCATTAAATGTAGTAACATTCTAGGTCTTGGGCTTTTCTGTGCTTGGAGAGTTTTGATTCCAAACTCAACTTTCGTTCTTGTTACTGGTCTAAGAAGATTTCCCATTTCTTTGGTTCAAGGTTTATAATTCAGTCTTAGTAACTTGTACATTTTTAGGAATTATTTGTGGGGTTTTTATCTTAGTTATCTGATATGTTAGTATATAATTGTTTATGCAGTCAAAGCATTGCCAGTCGTGTTTATTATTTTGGTAAAACTGGGCATTACTTTCAGTATTATTTATTCTGGTCTCTCTTTTATTTATTTCAGGTTTTTCTTTGCTATTTCCTTCCACTGTATTCTGTTGTGGACTTTGCATGAATATTCCTAACTGGTAGTAGTTTGTAGCTGCCTTTACTTGTAGTGTCTTCCCCTGGCTTTGATAACGTGTTAATGCTGCTACCACAGAGACAGTATTTTGATAATTTCTCTTATCTTCACTCCTTGGAAATGTTTGAGGAGATTTGAGGTCCTTTCTCCTTAAGTGTCATTTGGAATTATCCAGTGAATTCATCTGGCACAAGACATTTCCTTTTTGGGAGTTTCTTCATTACTCTTTCAATCTACTCAGCAGTTATAGATGAGGTGTGATTTTTTTTTATATTTTTTCATGATGGAATCCAAATGAGTTATACATTTTCTGAAATCTATTGTTGTCTTTTGGTATCAATTTGTGGGCATATAATTATCTATTGTTTCCTCTTATAGTTACTTTTATTTCTATGGTATCAGTTCTATTGTGTCTGCTTTCACTTCTTCATTTCTCATTTCAGTTGGTCTTTTTCATTCTTACTTGATTTAATTTAAAGGGCTGTCAATTTTGTTGATCTTTTCTGACAGCCATCTCTTCGTATTGTTGATATGTTCCTATTTCCAGAAGATCCTGTTGTGTTCATTCCAGTTTTACGTTTCAAATTCCTTCTTTCTGGGACACCTGGGTTGCTCAGTTGGTTAAGCATCTGTCTTTGGCTCAGTTCATGATCCTGGATCTAGCCCCATGTCTGGCTCCCCACTCAGTGGGGAGTCTGCTTCTCCCTCTACCCCTCCTACCCCCCGTGCTCTCTATCACTCTCTCTCTCTCTCTCTCTCTCTCTCAAATAAAGGAATAAAGTCTTTTTTTTTTAAGATTTTATTTATTTATTTGACAGAGAGAGACACAGCGAGAGCAGGAACACAAGCAGGGGGAGTGGGAGAGGGAGAAGCAGGCTTCCCGCGGAGCAGGGAGCCCGATGCGGGGCTCGATCCCAGGACCCTGGGATCATGACCCGAGCCGAAGGCAGACACTTAACGACTGAGCCACCCAGGTGCCCAGGAATAAAGTGTTTAAAAACATAAAATTCCTTCTTTCTAAATATTTTGTGCTCATGTGGTACTTGTCCTGATTCTTTGAAGTATAGGAAAGTGATTTGTTCTACAACATGACAATACCACAGAATTATCTATTAGGATACATGGTCAGTACATTGTGTGCAAAGGTACATATCCATGGAGGAATGAAGTCCTGATGATTCCTTCTCAGCCATCTTTCTGACTTTCTCTGATTGATTTGAAGCTTGTATATTAGAAGTCATCATATCATCTGAAAGTGTAAGTGGAATGAGTTTGCTTTTTCCTTTTTGGTGTCTTTCAGCCATATCTTCACATGACACCCAGAGCTTCCTGCCAAATCCAAGTATAGAAGGTTCTTTCCAAAAAGAATCAGTGGGTAGATAAAAAATAGTGCTATTAAGAAGTTACACTTACGGGCACCTGGGTGGCTCAGTTGGTTAAGCAACTGCCTTCGGCTCAGGTCACGATCCTGGAGTCCCGGGATTGAGTCCCGCATCGGGCTCCCTGCTCAGCGGGGAGTCTGCTTCTCCCTCTGACCCTCTTCCCTCTCGTGCTCTCTATCTCTCATTCTCTCTCTCAAATAAATAAATAAATAAATAAATAAATAAATAAATAAAAGTCTTTAAAAAAAAAAAAGAAGTTACACTTACTGACAGAATGGGACAATGATGGGGAGAGTGAAGGGCATCAGAGACATCAGGAAAGACATATCCAAACTGAGACAACTGCCTTTAATAAGAATCTCACTGCCAGAAGTGAAGGATATACAACATTTTGAAAAACCACCCTTTTTTAGTCAGCTGCATCTACAAAGCATGTTTCTGTAAGCAAAACCTCCAACCAAGTATTCAAACATAACTCTTTGTGGAAAGACAGTTTGAAGAATCTGGATAGTTACCTAGTCCTTGCTAAAAATAATGATTTGGACCAATTTCAAAATAGGATTGGATTGACCTTTCAGTCAAATATTTCTGATAATCAGAGATTTAAAAATGAAGAACCAAATGCTAAGTGGAATCCATTTGAGAAGTCCTTCGCAGAGGACTCAACCCTACAAAATTACCAGAGCATTTTCAATGGAGACAGAATTGCTAAATGCAGTGAATCAGAGAAGACATTTAACCAGGGCCTCCATGTTGATAGATGTGTGAGGATTCAGTTTCCAGAGAACCATTATGAATCTAGTAAATGTGGGCATGTGTTTTATCAAAGCTCTAACCTTATTATACATGAGAATATCCATTTGGGAGATAATCTTTTTTTTAAAAAAAAGATTATTTATTAGAGAGAGAGAGACAGCGAGAGAGGGAAAACAAACAGGGGGAGTGGGAGAGGGAGAAGCAGGCTTCCCCCTGAGCAGGGAGCCTGATGTGGGGCTCGATCCCAGGACCCTGGGATCATGACCTGAGCCGAAGGCAGATGCTTAACAACTGAGCCACCCAGGCGCCCCTGGGAGAGGATCCTGATGGTATAATCAATAGGAGAGTGCACTCAAGCAGTCCTCCAATGTTGGTGATCATCAGAGAATTCTTGAGGGGAAACGTTCAGATGCATTGAACCTGGGACCATGTTTAGTTATCAAGACTATACATAAATAAGACAGTCCATACTGAAGAAAAACCTTACAAATATAAAGAATGTGGGAAGGCCTTTAACTGACAACATCACAGAATTCATACTGGAGAGAAACCCTACAAATGTAAAGAATGTGGCAAGGCCTTTAACCAGAACTCAATGCTTACTCAACATCACAGAATTCATACTGGAGAGAAACCCTACATGTGTAAAGATTGTAGCTCAGTTTTTATATTGCACGCAACTCTTACTGGATGTCACAGAATTCATCCTGGAGAGAAACCTTACAGATGTAAAGAATGTGAGAAAATGTTTAAGGACTGCTCACTTCCGGGTGCCTGAGTGGCTCAGTCAGTTGAGCATCTACCTTAGGCTCAGGTCATGATCCCAGGGTCCTGGGTTCCGGTCCCACATCGGGCTGAGTTGTTTGGTAACAATGAGAGGGATTATAGAGAAAAATATGTTTCAGTAACACATCTTTGTAGATAAAAGATTTTAATACTATTCATTATAAAGTGGATTAAATCCTGAGTTTTTTCTAGTGTCGTCCAATGCCTGGCCCCCAATCCGCAAATTCACATTTTGATTTTTCTCCCATGTTTCTCACTTGGAATCATTTGAGAATGAAAATTGCCTTTTTTCCTGAAGCTCTGGAAACTTAATAGAAATGACTTGATGTAACACAATCATCCTAATAGGTCATGTATAGACAATCTTAGGGCTGTGGTTTGATAGGTCACTAAAAATATTACCAGGTGCCTTTGAACTATAAACCGGAAAGATATGTTAAGTGGTTACTACCTGTCCTCACTCTATCTGAAATTACTTCAAGTCTGACATCTAGATGTCTGTTCAACTGGCTACCCTTAGGAGTCAGAATCTGGCTTAACATTTGATCTAATCATTAAGCATAGTTGTTCTTTTGTTTTTATATAAATGCCTCATCAATTACATTACTTGTGCCACAGGGCTAACTTTGAAAATACACCTGCATCATTGCCTCCTGATACAAGTTTGACTCAACTGACCTATTGTCAAAATGCTGGATCAATGATAAGAAACAGTTTATCAGGTGACCTTTTAATATGTGAAACTCCTAAGGAAGTTTCAGCTAGGGGACTTAAGGGGTTCAGGACAGCCTCTCCATCCCCCCAATCCCTGAATGTGCCCCTTTGTCCTGTGGACAACTTGAGTTGAAGGTACATGAGAACCTGCAGCTCAAGAGAATCTTTTCCCCCTCCCTTAACCACACAGTAGAATCTAAATTGGGGGGTCTTTCCCCGAATAGGGGTTATTAACAGAGACAAAGTTTATCTCAGTGACCCATCTGTAAGGTAGGACAAATATCCTATTACCAAATATGTGCTCTTCTTAACACCGTGTGAAGTATTTTCCTTTCCTCAGAAGCTCCAGGCCCTGACCCCTTTTGCCTCAGTTCAGGGTGATATTTGTACCTTATCTTGCTGGACAGTCTTTGGAATTTTCATGTCTCTGCAGATTCCCTGTATGTACACCAATTTAATTTAATTGTTTCTTGTTAATCTGCTCAAGTCAATTTGATTCTTAGCCCAGCTAGAAGGATCTTTGAGGGGGCAAGAATTCTTGTTTTCTGACAGAGGGTTTTATTTTAATGCATCATTTCCTGACATCCTATTTAGAGTATATAAAGAAAGTGGAATAATAGGAAGTACTTCTACAGGAGTTGAGATTTTTGACCTCAGTTGTCATTATTTCAGAAGGACCCTTAGTTGTTTCCTGTGTGGTTACTGTCTTGTCAGTGGTTCCTTTAAATGCTTCTAATAACAGTCAAAAGATGTATCCCACTTTGTTTAGTTTAATCGTTGTCTCTCTCACAGTGGGTGCTTATTATACAAATTACGTATTTCAAAGTTTCCTCATTTATGCTACTTGAGCATTAAAATTGTCCTTAGTATCATTTTCATTTTATTTAGATACTTGCAAGTAGGTCATCCATGTGTATTAAACATGACTCCTACCAAATTGTTGAATGGTGGTTCTCCATCACTTTTTTCCCATTGTGATGGCAATTTTCCATCCTAGTGGGTTGAAATGCTCAGCACTACCTCAGAGGATTTAGCTGTGAATGAATGTGCTAATTTGAGTGATCTTGCTCCTTCAGGTGTCACGCTGGAGATGGTGGATGGTATTTCCTGTCTTGGTTTTCTCTGGATTTAGCCTAGCTAAATTCAAGTGCTCAGCATGCTAAGTGGCTGATTCTTCTATGCTTCCCCTGATGGAGCACCTAAATTATTTGTATTGTGAATGGGAATGCCTGTGGGATGGCTGCTGGGTGCTGAAGTTGACTCTGCCAGGCTCTACCGAGAGGAGCTAATGTCCTTTGTGTTTGGATTCATTCAGAATCTCATCTACGGAATGCATCAAGCATTTAAATGGGCCACATTGTGAAGAATTTTAAATTTCTAAGAGGCAGATGCATCTGTGCCACAGATCTGCAATCTATGCTTCTGACTCTAAAGTGTATTTTGGTCATGTAGTATTACAGAAGAAAATCATCTTCCTTTTAGTCAAGTCATAACTGAACTGCAACCAATTTTGTAACTTGCAGCCTATTGGGCTGTAAGTGGGGAGCTAGATCAGAAATGCTGTTTCTTGTGGAAAGAGCCAAGATGTCCATCGACAGATGAATGGATAAAGAAGAGGTGGTATATATACACAATGGAATATTATGCAGCCATCAAAAGGAATGAGATCTTGCCATTTGCAACGACGTGGATGGAACTGGAGGGTGTTATGCTGAGTGAAATAAGTCAATCAGAGAAAGACATGTAGCATATGACCTCACTGATATGAGGCATTCTTAATCTCAGGAAACAAACTGAGGGTTGCTGGAGTGGTGGGGGGTGGGAGGGATGGGGTGGCTGGGTGATAGACATTGGGGAGGGTATGTGCTACGGTGAGCGCTGTGAATTGTGCAGCACTGTTGAATCACAGATCTGTACTTCTGAAACTAATAATGCAACATATGTTAAGAAAAAAAAAGAAGAAGAAGATAGCAGGAGAGGAAGAAGGAAGGGGAGTAAGTCAGAGGGGGAGACGAACCATGAGAGATGATGGACTCTGAAAAACAAACTGAGGGTTCTAGAGGGGAGGGGGGTGGGGATGGGTTAGCCTGGTGATGGGTATTAAAGAGGGCACGTTCTGCGTGGAGCGCTGGGTGTTATGCACAAACAATGAATCATGGAACACTACACCAAAAACTCATGATGTAATGTATGGTGATTAACATAACAATAAAACATTTTAAAAAGAGAGAGAAATGCTTTTTCTCATTGCTAGCCAAAAAGCAGTTTAAACAGGGACTCCTGGGTGGCTTGTCATGCTTTCCGGGTCCTGGGATTGACCCCTGGTGGAGCTCCATGCTGGGCGTGGAGCCTGCTTAAGTTTCTCTCTCTCCCGATCTCCCCCACTCCATCCCACCATCTGTCTCTGTGTCTGTCGTTCTCTCTCTTAAACGCACGTGCGTGAGCGCACGTACACACATCACCACCACCACCACCACCACCACCACCAAAAGCCTCTCAGATTCCATAACCTATTATAACTAGTAGAGGACCACTTCTCACCAAAATGAGTTTATGATGAAACTCCAACCACACAAAAAGAAATCTCTCTGTTGTCATCACATGCTAAGTTATTTACCAAGAGAGATCTTCCCAGAAGCCTTACTTCTCTCATTGCAAAATGAAAGCACCATACTCAGGAGTCATTTCACATTTTCCTTCACAGTCTTCTTAAAGTTAAGTTTTTGATATGCACAGTCCTTTCAAACCTTTCTGTTGTTGTTCATAATAGTTTAGTTCTAAATGGGTTTTTTTGTACCTTTAAAATAGAACAAATGCTTTTAATGTTATTTTTGCTTGCATATATATTTGTAGGTTGAGACCCAAAATCTTGGGCAGGTGACATTTGTGATGTGTCTATATCAGAACAAATGTAAAAATGCCACAAATATTAGAATCCTAAAAAGTTCCTTGCTTTAAAATGCATTAGTTCTGGGATGCCTGGGTGGATCAGTCGTTAAGCGTCTGCCTTCGGCTCAGGTCATGATCCCAGGGTCCTGGGATCGAGCCCCACATCAGGCTCCCTGCTCAGCGGGAAGCCTGCTTCTCCCTCTCCCTCTCCCTCTCCCTCTCCCCCTGCTTGTGTTCCCTCTCTCACTGTCTCTCTGTAAAATAAAGAAATAAAACTAAAAAAAAAAAAAATGCATTAGTTCTGGTGCTTTATATAATGGGATATATTAAACTAACAACTTGTATATATAGTATGTCGGCATTTCCTAGTAACTTCTCTTGAATCCATTTTTAATAACAAATATTGTACAGGTTGGGCAGTTATACTCTTCAGGCTGATACACTCCAGATCTGTAATCTTTTAAAAGAAATTTGAAAAGTCATCATTCTTCTATTTTCAAGACCAAAGCACATCAGTGCTATTGTAGGGCTCAGAGGCAAATATATATATTTCTACTGAATATTTGAGAAAGTGTGAATTCCTTTCAAGAAAATCTAAGAAACAAAATAATCCTAGCCTACTGGCACTGAAGAAAAAATACCTCATTCACTCTTTCACTCTTGTGATTTTCTGGTCCCTACTGATTTCCAAATTGGATCACTGTAGTAAGTTTTCTATGCTGGTATCTCTCAGAGTAAGCCCTGGGATCCATATTTGTTTTGCGCTCTTAAATCAGCAAGAATAATAAATTTGATGGTGTGTGAAATTGGAAGTGTCAAGGGCTTTTTTTTTTTTTTTTTAAGATTTTCTTTATTTGAGAGAGCGAGCAAGAAAGAGAAAGCATGAGCAGTGGGGAGGAACAGAGGGAGAGGGAGAAATAGGCTCCCCACTGAGCAGGGAGCCTGATGTGGGGCTCGGTCCCAGGACCCTGGGATCATGACCTGAGCCAAAGGCAGACACTTAACTGACTGAGCCACCTAGGCCTCAAGGGCTTTCTTTGAGCAAAATGATGACTCCACTTCAATTTATTGTGACCCATTTTTCACTATATGTGCTTTGTACGTGTAATATTTATTTCACTATAGATTAAATTCTTGTTCCTTTGTATTGTTATGTATCTAATATTTTATTGATGTGAAAATCAAATTGTGTCATAAAAACCTCTCTGGATTTAAGCAGATTTGAAAATGTTGTATTACAAAAAAACATTTACATGTAGAATTCAGCCTTCCATTGCACTTCATTGCATTATTGGGCTAAGAATCAAATTGAAATGAGATTAACAGAAGATCAAATTAAATTTCATAAGTATGCAGACCCCTCACAGACATGGAAATCCCAAAGACATT